GACTGGCAAAAGGCCCAGGGGACGGCCAAGATTAACCTGGTGCAAACATATGGAAGGAGTCTGTTCCAGAATGCATTTGTCTTTTGCCCAAGCTCAGACTCTGGCACAGGATCGGGAACGTTGGAAGCGCTGTCTGACGCGTCTGCCTCTGCGACCCGAAAGGAGAAGCGGCGATGGAAGATGAAGATGAAGAAGATGAAGAATTTGCATAGTTTGGATTGCAGTTTTCTTTGCCAGTTTTCCCTTTAGCTGTTACTATCTATTTAAATTTCAATGTAAAATTCTTTTATCCTCGCTGAGAAACAATTCTTTTGTGGATCCCTTTCAAGCGGCAAACTTGCAGATCTTTACGTCCGGAATATGGTTATACGTGAACTACTGCAGGCACTGCCGCCTGTGGCAAGTTGTACGTCAGAGCTTATATCTTATTCCTTAACAACAACAAGCACCTCAGATATGGAGCAGTCATGAAGAGCTGATTCGATCGTTCGCTGCAAAGCTTTGATCCACCCGAGGCAGAGCGATTCAGAGTCTGCTTGAAGAATGTGGTTTCTAAAAGTTAAACGGTTTCTAACGTGAAGCAAGAAAACTCGCAGAAGAGCAGCGAAATTCGTACTTACTTGTAAGGGGACACGACTTCGAAACAATTCCTTCGATCAAAGCTAGCGGGCAGTGGTCGAACGAGGCAAAGACGCAGGTCAGATTCCATAACTGTGAACGACTTGTTGCAATTGAATGCATCGTTGACGTTCGGAGCAAAGTTCACTTCCCGATGACAATACAGGAATTTGTTGTCCCTGACCATAAACCATCTCCTTCAAACGCGAATTTGACACATCTATCAAGTTTAGAAAAAAGAACATGGCTTAACGCACCACCAGATGATGAACTGGCTGAATCGAACATCACTTTGCTTACCTATGCCAGGTTTTAATAGCTTTTGAAGATCGCTTGAAGAGATATCCTTCAACCACTATTTCAGGATCAAGCGGCATCCCAGGCGGGTGCTCAAATATCTCCTAAATTTTTACATAATTGAAAAAAATATATATAAGCAAGAGCAAAATTACTCAAATGCTTCTTTCGGTGATATCCGGAGCATTGGCAAAACAAAAAAAATTATCAAAACAATGTAACATCGATTACCTTGGGAACGATAGCATGTCGGTCTTGCATTTTCTTTTCCACTTGACGCTCCTCGTTCTTGAATCGAGTCAGTTGGTCATTCAACGTATCCTTAGTCTTTGACCATTCGTCTCCAAATAGGTCATAGCCTTGATGGAAGTAAGTTTCGCACGCACGTATATATGACAGAAAAGCCTCGGTGATCTTGTATTTCTTTGTCGCGTGCATTAGGTTCATCTGCATGATAACACGAAGTGAGACTACCAATAGCGAGATCATAAAGCTTAAAAATAACACTGTTGAAAATTTCGATGCGTACAACACTGTTTAATTCTAGGGTAGATCATCGCTTTGATAAAGGACTGTGGTAAAAGAAGGAGTCAAGTACGAGTATAAAGGGATGGTTGGCAGCTCAACTGAGTCAGGACAGAATAGGCGATTGATTGACAAACGGTCGTTAATACTACTTTATACTTCATAAGTAGGATAAGAACTACGGTAAAATCTAGTTAATCCAAATTTGATAGAAAAAACAGTCTAATAAATAAATAATAATTTAAGCATGAAATACCTAATTTACCAATAATTTATTTTAACATGTGACACTGAATTCAATTCTAGTGGATATATTTTAAATCGAATCTGATACAATTTAATTTCATGGTTAGATTAATCAACTGAAATCTTCATTTATCATTGGTACTGCCCGTATATTTAATATATGATACAGTTTGTCACTAAACTCCGTTTGATTAATTAATTAATTAAGTACTAATTTTCCGTTTAAAATTCTGGGAATTTACCACCATCTGCTATGCGTTAATTATAACCATTTTATTATATTCACACGTCATTGGTTAACTGCTGATCTTGGCATACAGAGAATTGCAGTAAAGTTCTATTAATGGAATTTCTCACTCTTGAGTGACAGAGTGCAGTATGAGTAATATATTTAAATTATCTTAGCAAAATTACAAAAGTTTCTAAATTCGTACTCCTTAAAGCTAACGGGGGAGATCAAGTACCTTACCATAGATTTCATGGACCTCAATTGCCCAGACGAGTTGATGGTGCTCAGCGATTGTAGCGGTGAATTACAGGTGGCAACATAATCGGTTAAACACGCTGGTGAAAGAGCAGGCTTTAGACTCGATTAGAAGAAAACTAAATTTATGAGGAATGCCTAAAGAACAGAAGAGACCGATGTCGATTTCAAATTGTTGTTCTAGCCGTGACCGCCTTCGGAAGCGAACAGCAGATCTCTTACCAAAGTTTGCAACAATTTGAGAATGAAGATTTCCACGTCACCTGTCATTTCTATCTTATTTCATGGCTGACAAACAACGAAACGGCTGAAAATACATGGTTGTCGTCTAAACAACTTCGAATGCGAACAATTTTAAGCATTCCATTGTGTGTAGAACACCCCACTCTGATAACTGATCAACATAAACTGATCAATAAAATTTCCACAGCAACAAGCAGTCTCAAGCAAATTCACTTTCCAACAAAGTTTCTATGCTACATGATCATGGTTAGTAGATTCAAACGAGTACAGAACCTAGACGTACTAGCTAGAACCGAAAGATTCGAGTTTTGTTCATCCCTCCAAATAAGACGAATTTCAGTGTTGGGTAATTATATGTAAACATCACTCGCTGAAAGAATCCAACTATGAGATCCAACCAGCTGACACCGCCGCTCTGGCAGCCAACCTCAAATTTAGAAACGCCTACTGATGGCAGACCTGCTGTCACCAAAATGTATCTCCCCCGCGGATGCAGTAGAAAATACCTATAATGACGAAGACCCCTACCGTTCAGCGGGATTGCTGCTGCTGCTTTGTCATCCTCAACTGGCAGAAGTTAAACAGCTGAGCAACCCAGATTTTAGAAATTTTAGTTCAAAATGTAATTATGCAACTTAAGCTACTGCATAAAAGGGGATGAAGCATTTCAGTCACGCCGCAGAGCTTAATGTACAATCATACAAGGCCCATTAAAGCCGCTTGTACCCAAGATCAAAGCTTTACAGTCAAGATTCACGGCTCATTACCATAGTGGAGCA